TCAGTTCTCAGCTCCAGTTGTGAGGCTGAGATCTACGCCACAGCCATGGCTGCACAGGAGTTACGCTGGCTCACCTACCTGCTGACTGACCTGGGAGAGCGGCCTCGTTCTCCTCCAGTGCTGTACGTCGACAACAAGGCTACCATTGCCTTGCGTCAGGAGCACAGACTGGAGCACAGAACGAAGCATATCGCTCTACGCTACTTCCTTGCTCGAGAGCTGCAGCAGCGAGGTCAGCTTCGTCTTGCCTACGTGGCCACTCGGGCCAACACTGCTGATGTGTTCACCAAGGCGCTTCAGCCTTGTGATCATCAGCGTTTCTGTACTGTTCTAGGCCTTGTGCCTACTGTGCCTCACTTGCTTACTTCTTGACTCTGTTTGTACTGTGATCTCTATATATATACCTGCATGCTTACACTTGCTAGGTTGTGATCACTGTACCTCTTGCTATATTATCAAACTGCATGTGAACTGGTCTTGTGACCACTTGCTTGTGCTCGGAATTTGTGTGGTTTCCTTGAGATCCACCCTGAGCTTGCTTTGCTTTGCTTTGACTGGTCTTGTGACCATCTGGTTGTCTCCCACTTAGCCTATGGGGGTGTGTCAAACATTATATATGTTTATATTGTGTAGGCTATAGTGGGTTTAGTCTTAGGGGGTACAACATTGTTAGGGTTTCCTACTTGTATCCCCCTCATGCCTAGTTTCATCATTCTCGTTCATTCTAAGTTTCTAACACTACATGCACGAAGCGGAGCGGGTGGACCGTTACGTTGGAGGACTGAAGTCGGACATCTCGCACGAAATCATGCTACGCGGACTCTCGAATTTCAACGAGATTCTCGCGCTCGACGAGAAGATCGATATCTTACGCCGTCCGAGGCCGGGGTCCTATTACAGACATCGCCCTCGGGGACCGATCGAGCACGCCACTGTACATGCCGTTGCGACAAATGCAGCTGCCGCGCCATTTAAGGGGCGCTGCTTTGCTTGCAATAGGCCGGGCCATCGCAAGAGTGAATGCCCAGAAGAGCTGAGGCGCTGCGGAGCAGAGCAGGGGAGGGAGTCTCCAAGGCAGGGAAACGCCAGCAGTCAGTAGGAATCGGGCCAACTACTGACGAGACTGCCTGCTCGCCCAACCTCACCGACCCTCACCGAGTCACAGTACCGATTCACGCTATCGATCGGGCTCGGATGAATAAGGAGGGTACAGCGACGGATTGCCCAGTACTGATTCACGGGAAAATACAGGGAGCAGCAGTGAAGATCTTTATAGACGGAGGAGCCAGCCACAGCTTAGTTAATACCGCAACTGCACGGAAGCTGCAACTGACACTTAGTCGGTGTTTACCGGAAATAGATGCACGCTTAGTGGACGGAACGCCGCTGGCCATACGGGAGAAGGTGGAGAGAGTAAAGGTCCGCTGCGGGGGGAACTTTGGGTTTACACAGGAAATGCTCGCGACGACATTGGATGGGCACGATATATTACTGGGACGTGATTGGCTACGACGGTATAACCCGCGAATCGACTGGACGACGGGTAGCTGCACTGTGCGAAGTAGCGGTAACTGGGTCGTGCTACCTCGCTGGCAGTCGCCCGAGTCTTCAACGGTCCACGTCAACGCCATCACGATGAAACGGGCTGTCGCTGCTGGAGCTGACGTGTACGCAGTGGATATAGCATTGGTAGAAGAAGCAGAGCAGCCGAGCGATTTTCAGAAACTGTTGGCAGCGGTACCGCCCGAACTACAGGAACTGTTGAAACGGTACCCGGGGATTTTTCCGGACGACTTACCGGAGGGACTGCCACCTCAGCGAGCACACGACCACCGCATAGAGTTAGAACCCGGGGCACAGCCAACCGTACAGCGACAGTTCAGACTGACACAGCCCGAGCTCGATGAGCTGAGGAAGCAGTTAGACTACCTGTTAGAGAAAGAATTCATCCGACCGATCTCGTCCCCGTTCGCCGCACCGATACTGTTCACACCGAAAAAAGACGGAGGGTTTTGCATGTGCATCGATTACAGAGCACTGAACCGGGTAACAGTCAAGTCGCGATACCCCATTCCCCGCGCTGACGAACTGATCGACCAGCTGCGAACAGCACGGGTGTTTTCGAAAATAGATTTACGGGGAGGTTACCATCAGATTCGGGTCGAACCATCAGACTGCGCCAAGACAGCATTTAGGACTAGGTACGGCTCATTCAAGTACACCGTGATGCCATTCGGGTTGACCAACGCACCGGCAACATTTCAGATGACCATGAACGAGACGTTTTGGCCACTTTTAGACAAATGCGTGATAGTTTACCTCGACGACATCCTAGTCTACAGTCGTGATAAGCAGCAGCATTTAGCAGACCTGGAAGCAGTGTTTAAAGTTTTAGACGAGCACAGACTACTGACCAAGGGTTCCAAGTGCGAGTTTTTTCAGGACAGGTTAGAATTTTTAGGACACGTTATTTCGGAGGCTGGGGTTGAAATCGACCCAAAGAAGCTGGACACGGTCAAAGCGTGGCACACCCCGACAAAAATCACGGAGCTGCAGAGTTTTTTAGGGTTCGTTAATTACGTGCGTCGGTTCGTCCCCGACATGGCGCAATTAACTGCCCCACTAACGGATCTGCTGCGGAAGGGGGTCCCTTTTACGTGGGGGGAGAAAGAGCATGCTGCCTTCTCTGCCCTGAAAACTGTTCTCTGTTCACCGCCCGTACTGCGCATCGCTGACCCACACCGCCCCTTCGAAGTCGTAACCGACGCAAGCGACATCGCCATTGGAGCCGTACTGCTACAGGATTTCGGCAACGGCCTACAGCCCATCGCCTACGAGTCACGAAAGCTGCATCCGCCCGAGAAAAATACCCGATAAACGACCGCTAAATGCTCGCAATCGTGCATGCGTTCAAGGTCTGGCGCTGTTACTTGACCGGCGCAGACGTGACAGTACGGACAGACCACCGATCCCTACAGTACCTCCGCGCACAGCCCCACCTCAACCCACGACAGATCCGCTGGCTCGATTTCCTCGAGTCGAACTTCCACTACACGGTCACCTACAAAAAGGGAGCATCCAACATCGCTGACGCACTGACCCGCCCCACTGCCCAAATCCACGCGATACTACTCGCCCATACCAGCCCGCTACTGACAGGACTATTTACCCAGGGTACCAAACGGACACATTCTTCACAGGAGGAAATTCGCAGCAGTTCGCAGCAGCCAAGGGAGTCTATTACGTAAAAGCCGGGACCGACCGCATCTGGGTACCAGGGTACACACTGCTACGGGAATTACTGTTACAGGAGGCACACGACGGAATTACCTCGGGACATTTCGGGGTAGAGAAAACACGACAGCAGCTGCAGCGGTATTACTATTGGCCCGAGATGCTGACCGACGTACAACGACACGTGGCATAGTGTCCCACATGCCAGCTCATGAAGTCGTCACGACAACGACCGGCAGCCGATACCACCCCTAGAGCGTGCTTGGCAGCAGGTGACGATGGACTTCGTCACGGGGTTACCGGCTGGAGCAAGTGGGAACGACGCGATCTTGGTCGTCGTCGATCGGCTGACGAAAATGGCACACTTCGCAGCATGCAAGAAATCAATCACAACCGAAGAAACAGCTCGCCTCTTCATCGCCACCATCGTTCGACTACACGGGATACCAGCAGCGATCATCAGCGACCGCGACACGAAATTCACCAGCAACTTCTGGCGGAACCTGTGGCAGCAGTTCGGCACGCGACTGCAGTTCAGTTCATCATACCACCCCGAAACCGACGGACAGACAGAACGGACAAATCAGACCATGGAACAGCTCATCCGGGCCACATGCGACGACCCGACCACGTGGGAACAGCAACTGCCACTCATCGAATTCGCATACAACAACTCACCATCCGCCACGACCCAACAATCACCATTTTACCTGAACTACGGACAAGACCCCACAGTGCCCATGACCCCGAATCCCGACAACCTGGTATTACTAAGCGCAACGCCGACCGACACCGCCGCCCCGTCACTTACCAACCCGACGACCTGGTATTACTCGACACTCAAAACCTCCGCTTGCCCATCACCCCGAAACTCCGCCCCCGATATTGTGGGCCATTTCGCATCAGCCACAAAATCACACCCGTCACCGCCCACCTCCTCCTCCCTGCTGACTGGTACGTCAGCCCGTCATTCCACGTCAGCCTGCTTCGCCCATACGTGCCATCCACCAGCCAACTGCCTCGCAACCGCCCGGCCAGCATGACACGACCACCAACAGAGCCAATCATCACGCCCGAAAAAATACTGAGCCACCGAGTACGTGACCCACGGGGAGCCCGCAGGATCGAATTCCTGATCCGCTGGAAAGACCGCACACCCACCGAGGACAACTGGGTTCCCCTGGACAGAATCGAAAACCACCCCGTCCTCACAGAGTACCTGCGCAGCCGAAATTTCCGGGATGTACACGCGCTTTCGTAAGGAGGGCCTCCTTAGGGGGGGGGGGTAGTGTAAGGAAAATTCCTTTTCCTTCGCGTCCCTGCTCAGCGCGTACACCACTGTTCCCGCCAACAGCACCCAACAGTAATCCGTTACCACTCGCGACACTCGCTTCGACACCATTCCCGCCGCTGTTCACGACGCGACCCAACCTCACGGTTCGGTTGGTAACCCGCGCTCCGGACCTCCGCCTCGACATCTCCCAACCTCGGCGCTAGGCCCGTCGCGCACCCCATTTTCCACACATTACCGTTACCACTGTAGTTTCGCTATATATTCTTCGCTCATGCCTTCGCTCATTGTACTTTTGCTTCGATAGTGCAATTCTCGTTCGCTCACTCAATTGCACTCGTAACAGTCTGAGAGGGTTCTGATACACCTAAAAGCTTACTACCTCTTATTTCTTAACAAAAAAAAAAGAAACCAAGACTTCACACACACACACAAACTGGCCTATTTTCAAATGCTTATCCACATCTGTTAGTGCTCATTTACTTGGTGGCATCACAACTGCTGTTGCTGCTGCATAAGTCGCCTTGCTTCCGAGCTCTTCTTCAATCCGTAAAAGCTGCACATAAGGCATTCATCGTTGCGAAGTGAGAACCAGCACACAACAAGTGGGCAGGGTACCATGACACAGAAAGAAAAAAACACGAGGATTAAAAATAGGCCAACCAGAAAATGAAAATTTTCTGATTTCATGGAAACCAGCCTTTATTTTCTTTCTTTCCCCCCGTTCTACAGCATCAGGCATCACCTGGTTATACTTGGCGCATCGCTCGCCTCGGCACACGCCCCCTGCCTTGATTCGCTGGGCTCCCATGCCCACTGTCACGTCAGCAAGCATGCAGTCCTCCGTGTCCCCCTGCCGTCCCACCCCACCTGCCACCACCACTGCCCACCCCGCTGCCCTCGCTGCCTTGGCCACCTCTAGAGCCTCTGAGAGAGTGCCGATTAAGGGGAGCTGGTGGGGAGAAGTGGGGGTGAGAAGAGGAGGGGAGAAGAGCGGGAAGAGAGAAAAGAGAGCAGCGATATTGATTTCGCCTGCTCTCGCTGCCTTGGCCACCTCTAGGGCTTCTGAGAGAGTGCCGATCAGGGGGAGCTGGTGTGAATGGGGGAGAAGAGTGGTGCAGAGAGAAGTAGAAACTGTAACGTTGGTTTCAAGGATGCAATGCGGTACAATGAGGGATCTCCCACCCACCTTGACGGCAATGCTACTGCATGTATCGGAGTGCGGAGCAATCTGGTACCACTCACATTGATGGTGATGCCACTGCACATGATGCAGGGCGGTGCAATGCGGTACCACTCACCTTAGTTGCAATGCCACTGCACGTGCGCCTCTCAATGGCTTGAACCAGTCACTTGGCATTCGAGACCGGCAGGTCGTTGCCCAATATGTGATATGGTGTAATACGGTGCAATGTGGTGAAATGTGGTGCAATGCGGTACCACTCACTCACCTTGATGGCGATGCCACTGCATGTGCGTCTCTCAATGGCTTGCTCCAGTCGCTTGGCATTTGAGACCAACAGGTCGTTGCCCACCACCTGCAAGTCATGCGGTGTAGTGTGGTGCCATACGGTGCAATGCGGTGGGAGGCGTTGTTATGTGGTGCCATGTGCCATGAGGAAGAGGAGGAAAACGTTAGATGAAGAAAGCATGCGGGCAAAAGGATGGGAGAGGAAGCACAATGTTGATCAAATGAAAAGAAAGGGAGGGCATGGGGGAGGGGATGACTGAGGCCATGAGTGAAGGATTGAGCATGATTAAGAGCATTTATTGGGGTACGCGTGAGGATATGGGTGAGGGAATGAGTGAGTGAGGGCGTGAGTGAGGAAGAGCCTGAGTAGAGGGACATGCCTGGGTGAAGCCTGCCTCTGAGAGGGCTTGAGTGGCGTCAAAGTCTTCCTGGTCAAACGGGTCCTCTATGCTCACAATGGGGAAGTCTGTAACGAGGATGGGGAAGAGGGGGAGAGAGGAACAGGAATGTGGCGAGGCCTGAGAGAAGTGTGGATGTCAGCCTGAGGGTAGGGGTATCGGCCTGAGGGTAGGGGTATCGGCCTGAGGGTAGGGGTATCGGCCTGAGGGTAGGGGTATCGGCCTGAGGGTAGGGGTATCGGCCTGAGGGTAGGGGTATCGGCCTGAGGGTAGGGGTATCGGCCTGAGGGTAGGGGTATCGGCCTGAGGGTAGGGGTATCGGCCTGAGGGTAGGGGTATCGGCCTGAGGGTAGGGGTATCGGCCTGAGGGTAGGGGTATCGGCCTGAGGGTAGGGGTATCGGCCTGAGGGTAGGGGTATCGGCCTGAGGGTAGGGGTATCGGCCTGAGGGTAGGGGTATCGGCCTGAGGGTAGGGGTATCGGCCTGAGGGTAGGGGTATCGGCCTGAGGGTAGGGGTATCGGCCTGAGGGTAGGGGTATCGGCCTGAGGGTAGGGGTATCGGCCTGAGGGTAGGGGTATCGGCCTGAGGGTAGGGGTATCGGCCTGAGGGTAGGGGTATCGGCCTGAGGGTACTGCTTGATGCTCGCATGCAGTGAGGAACTCTGGCACTAGGATGATTTACCTGAACGCATCTGAGTACACCTGAAGACACCTGACAACACCTGAGTGAGCACAGCTACTGGTACACGCCTATGAGCACAGGTGTATGCCTGGTCTTCTCACCTCCCAGCACAAATGCTAATTCACCTGAGCACAGCTGAAAATTCACCTGAGCACAGCTGCTGGTACACGTCTATGAGCTGCTGGACCGTCACTTGCTCCAAACTGCTGCCGCTGTTGTTGGCTGATGTCATGCTGATGTCACCGCTGCCATCCAGCTGAAGCTGCTGCTGCATGCCCAGGTCATAGTGACCTTCGTCTGTGGTTGGGGGAGGATGGGGGGAACGTGCATGGGGGGATGCTGCTGCTGCTGCTGCTGCTGCTGCATGCCCAGGTCATAGTGACCTTCGTCTGTGTGTGTGGTGGGATTCGGAGGATATAATACATATTTTTTGGTTTTCATATGTATGTATATATATATATATGTATATATATATTAGGGCTGCATATGCACACGCTGAGGCCGATGGATGGTTGGTAGACTTGTAGAGGGATAAGGGACTTTTCCACAATAATCACCTGTACCATTTCACCCCATCTTAATCACATACACTCCCCCAACCACCATAGGTCACACGCTCCCCTATCAATCACACTCATCTCCCCCCCTCTACTCCTCCCGTCCCACCCGAAACCCAGTTACAAGCACCCGACAAACACCGTCACAACGCAGCACATAAGCAATGTCCACTTTCTCTGTGTGCCGACTCAACCCCCTTTTACAATCACGTGCCAATTTCTCTGTGTGCCCACTCAGCCACCCCTTGCAATCACCTATCGATATCTCTGTGTGCCCACTCAACCCCCCTTCACAATCACCTGTCACACTGCCCCCCAATGCTGCATGAATGCTGATCTTCACTTTCTCATTGTCCACATCCTCCCAGGCTTCACTTTTGAGAATTCTCAAAAGTGACTCCCTGTGCTGCAAGAAATGCTGGTCTTCACTTTCTCACTGTGCACATGCTCCCAGGCTTCCAACAGTAGCGAGTTGACTTTTGCGTCCCACATTTGCTGTGTACCCACCTCTCCTCCCCCTTACACCAACTAACCTGTCACACGCCCACCCAACGCTGCGTGAATGCTGATCTTCACTTTCTCTGCATGCCCTGCATTTGCCACTGCTGACGCCAGCAGCTGCAAACCGTCTCGTATGCTGGCGGGTGGGGGAGAGTGGGGGGAGGAGCGGGAGGAATGGAGAAAGAGAAGGTGGTGGGGAAGGCTGGGATGGTAAGGACGTGTGAACAAAGGTGAAACATAGGGGATTAGATGGGGAGACGCAAAAGTTTTAAATAATATTGAGGCGAGTTTTGAGGCGGCTCAAAACTCGCATGAGACATAGGGGATTGGGATGGAAAAACGAGAGAGAGAAAAAAAAACGAAAACAAAACAAAACAAACAAACAAACAAACAAATTGTCCCGTATGCTTTTAAGATGGGGGAGGAGCGGGGGATGTGTGAAAAGAGAGGGGAATGGGAGGAGGAGAGAGGGGAAGGGGAGGAGGAGAGAGGGGAAGGGAAAGTGGAGGGCAAAAAGGGGAGGTAAGGACGAAAGAAAAAGGGTGAAGATTGGGGTTGTGGATGGGGAAGGAGGAAGGGGTCGGGAAGGAGGGGAGGTGGGGAAACGGGGGAGGGGGGAGGCGGGGAGAGGGAAAACATAGGGGTTAAAGGATATCGGACGGGGTGTGATGGAGAAACGTCAGTTGCTGGAGAAGCTGCCTGGCATATGCTGGTAGAGGGGTAGGATGATGGGAGGGGAAAAGAGATTTGGATGCTGGATGGGCAGAATACCAGGGGGCGAAGGGAATGGGCATGAGGAGGAAGGAAGGCAAGGCAGCACAACTCACCTCTCAACCTGTGATATCACTGTGTTATGATCGTGCAAATAGCAGAACTTTGTTATGATGGTGCAAGTGTAGCACCAAATCTGGGTGTACAATTTGGTTGGGCCAAGTCGCCCCAACCAATTTGGGTTGGGTGCGCCCCAAACCCACTCGACCGCAATTGACAGGGGCGGTGCGTCACCAGCGCTGCTGCTGCTGGCAGGTGTGTTACCCCACAAACACAACACAGAGCATAGATGCTCGTTGCGGACACACAGCCCTGGCACAACCGGGTATCATTCAGATCAGTCAGCCGTACCTTGTGAGGGGCAGAGTTTTGAGTCGACTCAAAACTCGAACTTTTGAGTCGACTCAAAACTGGTATCATTCAAACCAGTCAGCCGTACCTTGTGAGGGGCAGACCCAAGCTGCCATCGTGAGTCACCAGCGCTGCTGCTGCCGCTCCAAACCGTTCTGCTGCAAGTGCCTGGCGGGGAATGCGGTTGAATGCGGTGGAATGGGGTAGAAAAAGGGGTGCAATGGGTTTGGATTCGATGAAGCGATGCACGATGTCATGCGATGCGATGTGATGTGGTGGAGTTTGACGCGATTCGATGGAATTCTATTGTATATGGTTGTTTGTATGTGATGTGATGTGAGTTCATGTCGACACCCATCTATATGCCTGACCCATTTCCCCTCTCAACGACTCGCTCGCCAACCAACCCAAGGTGACTTTTGAGTCGACTCAAAGTGATGTGAGTTCATGTCGACACCCATCTATATGCCTGACCCATTTCCCCTCTCAACGACTCACTCTCCAACCAACCCCTCACCCACTCTCCTTCCCCTACCACACCCCTCTCCCCTCACACCTGCAGGCAGTGCTGCACCTCTGCTCCAATCCGAACAGCCTCTGCGAATGTGGATGCTCCCAGTGGCAGGATGGAGAGTGACTGAGGTGTGTGGATGGGGATAGGGATGGGGATGGGGGAGAGGAAGGATAGGAATGAGGGGAGGGGAGAACAGCAGTGCTGCACCTCTGCTCCGATCCGCATTGCCTCTGCGAATGTGGATGCTCCCAGTGGCAGGATGGACAGTGAGGGGAGAATTACGGATCTGATTCTCAGCACGCTTGATTCTCCCACTCTCAAGGCGAGTTCACTCACTCTCAATGCGTTTAATTCCCTCTCAACTCTCTCAAGTCTCACATAGAAGGGAGGAGCGGCTGCAAAGGAGGGCGTGAGGGCGCCAGAAAGGACGGCAAGCTCGCGAGGTTCAAGGCATTTGGCTGTTCCATTGAACTCGAAGCACAGGATACAGTGTCCGTTCAACTCAATCCAACTCACATGGAAGGGCGGCGAGGCAGCAGAGGAGGGTGTGAGGGCGCCTGAGAGGAGGGCAAACTCGGGCACGGGTAGAGAGGGGTGGGGCACCGCTGCAAGCGATGCGATGTACTCGTGCAGTGGCATCTGCGAACATGGGGGTAAGTGACCAGAGGTCAGAGACAACAGGAGAGCAGGAGAGGTGGGAGAGATGGGCGGGGAATGGCAGCAAGTGAATGGGAGGAGGGCAAACTCCGGCGCGGGTAGAGTTGGGTGGGGGAGTGCTGCCAGCGAGGTGATGTACTCGTGTAGTGGCAGCTGCGATTGTGGTGTGGGGAGAGGCACGAGAGGGGGCAGGAGGCATGGGGGATGGAAGCAAGTGAGTGAGAGGAGAGGAGGGGAGCTCAGGCACGGGGTGAGAGGGGAGAAGAGGAGGGGAACTCTGCAGCAGACAGAGACACAGCGGGAATAGCAAACAAGCCAACTCTCCATAACACCCCTTCCCAGGTCCCCCCCCTTTCCCTCTTCCACACACAACCACTCTCACCTTGAGTCGACTCAAAAGTCACCTTGAGTCGACTCAAAAGTCACCTCTTCATAAACACCCCTTCCCGTATCCCTTCCCCCTCTCTCCCACGAACACACGCACTCACCTCTCTCTCTGCCGCGCCTGCTCGGCACAAGGCAAGGGACACGGCAAGAATGGCATTGGCTCCCAGCTCGCCCTGCAGTAGAGGGGAAGGGGGTGTGGAAGGGGAGGAAGAGGGGGAAGGGAGGATGCCAAAATGGGGACGAGGAAAGTGGGAGGAGATGAGGGAGGGAAAGCTGGAGGTTGGGGGGTGAGTCTGCTTTGGAGGATGCACAAGTCAAATCCGAAGCCAACACACCTTCGCCGAGGGCGCAGAAACAGGGACGGCACTCATTTATTGGTGGGAGAGTTTTCGGAAGTTGAAAGGGGTTGTGTGTTCGGAATCCTTTCCCTTCATCCGCTTACTCCCCGTGTGATGAGTCGACTCAAAATTCGACTCATCACACGCTTACTCCCGCCACCCACCTTGTTATCCGTCTGGTCGAGTTCAATCCATCCATCGGGTTCACACCTTGTTCTGCACGTTGTGAACTCTCTCCTACTGACTTGTTCTGATTTCCTTATCCCTGGCCCCGTCTCCCCCCGTCTCCCCCCGTCTCCCCCCGTCTCCCCCCGTCTCCCCCCGTCTCCCCCCGTCTCCCCCCGTCTCCCCCCGTCTCCCCCGGTTTCCCCCCGTCTCCCCTCGTCTCCCCCCGTCTCCCCCCGTCTCCCCCCGTCTCCCCCCGTCTCCCCCCGTTTCCCCCCGTCTCCCCCCGTCTCCCCCCGTCTCCCCCCGTCTCCCCCCGTCGCCCCCCGTCTCCCCCCGTCTCCCCCCGTCTCCCACGCCTTCCCAATCCTCTCCTCTTCCCCCAGCCCCCCTTGTTGACAGTCTGGTCCAGTTCAGCCGCCATCAGCCTGTCAATCCCCCCTCGCTTCCTTTCTCCCTGCGCACCTAGACATTCTACCCCCAACCAGACAACCTTCCCCCCCACCCCTTCCCCTCACCTCCCACCCACCTTGTTATCTGTCTGATCAAGCTCGGCCGCCATCAGCCGGTCAATCCCCCCCTGTTCGCGAGGGTCCCTCCACACCACCGCTGCTTCACATCATTATTTGATTGCCTTACCCCCCACTTTTCCCCTCCCATCCCACCCCCACATCCCCCCCACCCCCTCCCCTCCCCACCCACCCACCTTGTTATCTGTCTGATCAAGCTCGGCCGCCATCAGCCGGTCAATCTCGCCTTGCTCGCAAGGGTCCCTCACCACCCCACCACCGCTGCTGCCCGCTGTTACTGCCCTTGACTCTCGAGTACCCCCTTTCATCCTCCACCTCCCACCCCCACATCCCCCCCACCCCCTCCCCTCCCCACCCACCCACCTTGTTGTCAGTCTGGTCAAGCTCGGCTGCCATCAGCCTGTCAATCTCGCCTTGTTCGTGAGGGTCCCTCCCCACCACCGTTGCTGCACAACACTACTGCCCCTGCCATGAGTCCCCTTCTCAGCCGCATCCCCCCTCCATCCCCTCCCCCCGCCCTGCTGCAATCGCGTGTCAATCTCCCTCCTCACCTTGTTGTCAGTCTGGTCAAGCTCGGCAGCCATCAGCCTGTCAATCTCCCCTTGCTCGCGAGGGTCCCTCCCCACCACCGCTGCTGCAATCGCATCGCTCACATTCCCCACCGCCCGCTGCACGCCCCTCCCGAAGAATTCCCCCTCGTCCCCATCCCTCACCTCCACTGCTTCATAGCTGAATGGGAATGGGAGAGGGGTGGGAGAGAGGGTGCGGAGGAGAGAAAAAGGTGGTAGCTAAGGGAGTGACATGCTGCAAACGCGTCGCTCACCTTCCCCACCGCCCTCTGCACGCCCCTTCCAAAGCACTCCTTCCCGTTCCCATTCCGCACCTCGACTGCTTCAAAGCTGAATGGGAATGGGGCAAGGGAGAGAGGTGGAAAGAGAACAACGGAATGGGGGGGAGTGGGGGGTGGTGCTGCAATCGTATTCCTCACATTCCACCCGCCCTCTGCACGCCCCTTCCAAAAGAATCCTCCGTCCTCCCCATCCCACACCTTCACCGCTTCGAATCTGCGACTGGGGAGAGAAGGAGACGTGGGAGAGGATGGGGTGGGGATAAAGGGAGAAGGGGAGTAAGGGTGTGACATGCTGCAATCCCCTCGATCACATTCCCAAACCCGCTCAGGTCGGGTCTGGTCGGATCGAGTCGACTCGGGTCAGGTAGGGTCGGGTCAATTCTGGTAGGGTTGGGTCCAATCGAGTCGGGTCGGGTCGAGTTGGATTGGGGTCAAGCCGGGTCGGGTCGGGTGGGGTCGGGTCAAGTTGGGTCGGTCGGGTTGGTTCAGGTCGGGTAAAGTCGGGTCGGGTCGGATCGGGTCGGGTCAAGTAGGGTCGGGTCGGGTTGGGTCAAATCGGTTCGGTTCAAATCCAGTCGGGTCGGGTTTGGTCGGAAAGGGTTGTTCGGTGAGGTCGGGTAAAATCTGGTCGGGTCGAGTAGGCACAGGTCTGGTCGGGTCGCCGGCTCGGTTGGGATAGTAGGGTTGGTTCGGGCCGGGTCAGGTCGGATCGGGTCGGGTCGGGTCAAGCCGGGTCAGGGAGGGTCGGGTAAGTCAGGTCGGATCGGGTCGGATCGGGTCGGATTGGATCGGACGGGTTGGGTCAAGTAGGGTCGGGTCGGGCTGGGTCAATTCAGGTCGGTTCAAGTCGAGTCGGGTTGGGTCGGGTCAAGTTGGTTCAAGTTAGGTCGGGTCGGGTCGGCTCTGGTCGGATCGGGTCGGATTGGGTGTGGTCAGTGGCTAACTTCTCTAAGGGCGGCTCAATTGCAGTAGGGATCTGTGTGTGTGTTCCATCTGAGACCAGACCAGTTGGTTCCTTGTTGGTTTCTGAGAGAATCTCAAAACCATGCCACTTGTAACCCTCCCATGCCACTTGTGCCACCACATGTATGTAACCCTCACATCCAGATGTAACGCCCTCACATACCAAGTGTAACTCGCACATGCCAGATGTAACGCTCACATGCCAGATGCAACGCTCACATGCCAGATGCAACGCTCACATGCCAGATGCAACGCTCACATGCCAGATGCAACGCTCACATGCCAAATGCAACGCTCACATGCCAGATGCAACGCTCACATGCCAGATGTAACGCCGGTGGGAACAGAGGCGCGGAACTTGCCCCTGTGAGAGCCCACCTCAGCCTCCACTGTGGGCTCCCCTCTCGCATCCAGCACCATGCGCCCCTTGACGCTCAGAATCACCGAGGGGGCTGCGCGCTGCAGATGGCGCGCCTGGGGAAGAACGATGGGATAGGGAATCACAAGTGAAGGAGAAGCGGCTTGTGTTTGGATCCTGAGCCGCCCACCTCCGCCTCCACCGTTGTCCCCCCCCGCGCATCCATCACCATGCGCCCCTTCACGCTCAGAATCACTGACGGGGCTGCACGCTGCAAGTGGCGCGCCTGGGGGAGATAAAGGAACATAGTGGGGGACATGGATGGGGGTGTGTGGTTCCTGTGAGAGCCAATCTCCTCCTCCACTGTCGGCTCCCCCCGTGAATCCCACACCATGCGCCCCTTAACGGTCAGGATGACCGAGGGGGCTGCACGCTGCAAGTGGCGCGCCTGAGGGAGATAAAGGAACATAGTGGGGGACATGGGTGGGGGTGCGTGGTTCCTGTGAGACCCCACCCTCCGCCTCCACCGTGGGCTCCCCCCATGCGTCCAGCACTATGCGCCCCTTCACAGTTAGAATGACTGATGGGGCTGCGCGCTGTTGATGACGAGCCTGGGAAGGGATGGAAGGCGGGAAAGGAAGGGGGTAGGTGTGCCAAATGTGACTCTCACACGCCGCGGAACTTGCCCCTGTGAGAGCCCACCTCCGCCTCCGCCGTGCGTAGTATAGAATCTGACACAAACGCGTCAGCTTGTAACGAGTGGTAACGGTTGAGCTTACAACGAGTGTTAACGAGCGAGCCTACGGTGAATGCGATAGGTTCGTCCGTTGTAGCTCGTACGGCCACATTGACCGCCTCCTCTATGCGCAGCGACAGCCTGTGAGCATTAATGAGTCGGTTTATAATGAGTACTACCTGGTAGACTTACGATAAATGCGATTGGTTCGTCCGTTTTCGCTCGCACGGCCGCATTGACCGCCTCCTCGATGCGCAGCGACAGCTTGTGTCGATCGAGGTATTCCTGTACCGTCATCGACATGTTGCCCGCTCTCTCACTCTCTCTCACTCACTCGCTCACTCACTCACTCGCTCGCTTACTCACTCACTCACTCACTCACTCACTCACCCTTAATCTCTCACTCACACTCACTCGTTTCCTCACCTCGTTATCACAAACAATCACTTACATTCACCGCACTCTCGCTCTCTCACACACACTTTTCCTGCTCCTTGCGCATGCCTCCTACCAATCGCTCTCGCGAACTACACACTGCCGACTTCTAAACCGTAGTCGCTTTGATGCTAACAACAGACTCGGTCCTTCGTATCTAACACAGACTATACTTTGAGGCGCCTCGAAACTGATGATACAGCAGCAGCCTCGGATTATGCGTGGACCGATGATGAGCCAGAGTTCCTGCTTCAATTGCTCTGAACGCGTTCCCGCCGAATGCAGATGCTTCAGGCTGAGTCACGCCGAATCTGAACGCATCCGCGTTTCAGTCTGTTGTACTCTGCGATAAAAGCGTCCAGAGTATTCCGGATAAAGCATTTATGTTTAAAGGTTTTTTTCCTCGTAATTGGCCGTTGTGTGAAGCTGTTCACTTTGCCTGATCAGATGGGGCATGTCACCGACCACAAAAGGTACCGTAATCAAACGCTCTAAAACGTAAATAAATGCGCTGAGCCGAATTCAGCTGATTTTTGGCCCATGCCTACATTCGGGGACCGGACCATCATAGCACTTGCCGAGTCGCACGTAATCCATACGGGCAGCTTCACTCGAACCGTGCAAGGCGCGACAGGCCAAGATAGTTTTCAAGCATCCAAGACATCCCACGGGAAAAAGTTTACTTGATAGACGTGCGTATGATCCGTCATTCAACCGTCACGTTTGAACCTGATCGAAAGTGTATGCGGAGAAAGTGATATGGCGACGGAAGCTGCAGGGGGGGGTAGTGAGATTAATATCGGGGATGAAGGAAAGGAGCCGATTGACGCACACGAAGCTAAAGCGATTAAGGACGAAAGCGACTTAGTGGAGATTAAGATCGTCGACGATAAAGCGCGGGGGGTAGGCGACGAGAAGCGGAAGGCGGCGGGGGGGAAGAAGCGGAAGAAGAAGCGCCTGGCGGGGCGGAAATGGGCGGTGTTGCTTGTCGGGATGCGGGGGGAGGCGGAGCTGCTACAGTGCACGAAGCAGGCCATCATGCGCCGCGTGTCGGTCCCCGCGCGCGATCTCCGCTTAAACGGCCCGTTGCTGTCCTCCGCCGCCGCGATTCTCGGTGAGCCCTGCTGAGCCCGACTCTAGAACGTACGTACGTACGTCAGCTGTCGCTCCCCACGCGCGATCTGCACGTGCGCGGCCCGCTGCAGGTGTGGTCGAAGCCGCGCGTCGGTTCCCGAACGTCTGCGCCATTTGCGCCATTTGGTTCCCGCGCGCACAGTCTGACTTCTGAGCTGACTTCGCTCCCCTAAACCTGAAACCCAGGTATCACTATCGTTAGCCGAGTCTATTTCTCTCTAAAACAGTCCTTTGCATTAAGTAATTTCTCTCTCTCTCTCATTCTCTCTCGCCCCGTCTGGTTACCCGGTTACAGGCAGGGAGGGGTGCATGATGGTGAACCTGGAGCATGTGAAGGCCATCGTGTCACTTTCTCCCTCTCTCTCGCCCCGTCTGGTTACCCGGTTACAGGCAGGGAGGGGTGCATGATGGTGAACCTGGAGCATGTGAAGGCCATCGTGTCTCTTTCTCCCTCTCTCTCTCGCCCCGTCTGGTTACCCGGTTACAGGCAGGGAGGGGTGCATGATGGTGAACCTGAAGCATGTGAAGGCCATTGTGTCTCTTTCTCCCTCTCTCTCGCCCCGTCTGGTAACCCGGTTACAGGCAGGGAGGGGTGCATGATGGTGAACCTGGAGCATGTGAAGGCCATTGTGTCGGCCCAACAGGTGCTTCCCTTCCACCCCTCCTCGCTTCTCCGATATCCACTCTTTCGCAAAGCTGATTTACAGTGTGTTGCTCCTGTTGGTCAAGCATCTAATTCACCCGCTGCTGCCCATCTAAGAGCCAAGAGTTGTTTCTCTTCAACCCCTTCTCTTCTATCGCTCTTTTTGATATCCACTTTTCCACTTAGCTGATCTACTTTGTTGCTCCTGTTTTGCACTCTTAATTCTGCTGCCCTTCTGCTGCGATCCCACAGGTGCTGCTCTTCAATCCCTCCTTGCCGCCCGTCGCCGCCTTTGCCGCTCACCTGGAAAGAGTGCTTGCAATGGGGCCCGAGCCGGCACAGGCACAGGCACAGGCACAGGCACAGGTGCAGGTGCAGGTGGAAAACGAGGGGAGGGATGAGGCACAGGCACTGACGCACGCCATGGGGCCTGAACTGGAAGAGACGCAGGCAGAGGAACAACTGGAAAGGGAGGGGACGAATTCGATGCCGAGACAGGCGCAGATAGAAGGGGAGGGAAGCGGTAAGACACAGGTGCAGGCACGTGATTTTGTGACACAAACGCAGGGTGAAATACAAGAAGGAGTGGGAGATAGAGAGGGAGAACGGGAGCCAGGAGGAGGGAGGGAGGGGGAAGGGGGTGCAGGAAAAGGAAGTGGAGCAGGCGCTGCAAGGCAGGGAGAGAAGGAGGAGAGTGAGAAGGAGAAGGAGAAAGAAAGCGAGAAAGAGAGCGAGAAAGAGAGCGAGAAAGCTAGCGTAAAAGAGGAGGAAGCAAAGGCAGCTGAGGAGGGGAGGGAAGAGGAGGAGGAGGAGCCTTTACCGTTCGAGTTCCGCGTGCTGGAGCAGATTCTAGAGGAGGTGGTGAGCAGGAAGCTGGAGGGGGAGTGCCGCGAGCTGGAGAGAGACGCGTATGCGGCGCTGAACGCGCTCGCCAGGGCTGTCAGCACGGCGGGTCTGGAGGCGGTCAGAGGCGTGAAGAACTGGCTGACTGTGCTGACTTCCCAGGTGCAGAAGGTATATGAGATGAGGTAGATGGTGAGATGGGGGGCCCACTGCCACCAAGGTAACGCACTCGCCCGGGCTGTCAGCACGGCGGGTCTGGAGGCGGTCAGAGGGGTGAAGAACCGGCTGACCGTGCTGACTTCCCGGGTGCAGAAGGTGAGATGAGGCAGGCAGAAGGTGAGGCGGGAGGGTAGGTGAGATAGGCACTGCCAGTGTGGGTAATCGATAAGCAAGAAGCTGATACTAGAGGAGGTAGTGAGCAGGAGGCTGGAGAGGGACGCGTATGCGGCTCTTAACGCTCTTGCACGGGCTGTGAGCACGGCTGGCCTGGAGGCAGTCAGAGGGGTGAAGAATAGGTTGACTGTGTTGACTTCGCGCGTGCAAATGGTTAGACCAGTGAGGCAGAAAGTGAGGCAGGCAGCTAAACAGGTCCGGGACGAGTTGGAGCGTTTACTGGACATGGCAAACCTGTACCTCCCACCCACTGCAGTGCTGCTTCCTTACCCGTTTTGCTCCCCTCCCTTTCCCTGTGCTCCGTCTGCCTCCATTTTCTGCAGGTGCGGGACGAGTTGGAGCACCTATTGGACGACGATAGAGACATGGCAGATCTCTACCTCACTCGCCAACTGCCACCCTTCCTTTGTTTTCCTTCCCTTCTCCCCCTCCTCTGCCGTGTTCTGTGCAGGTGCGCGACGAGTTGGAGCATCTATTGGATGACGACAGGGACATGGCAGACGTCCTCCTTACACGGTGCTCCCCTTGTGCTCCCTCTCCCCTTGCTTGCTCTCTGTCCTTCCCGACTCTGCCGCTGCCTTACCTGTACGCAGGTGCGGGACGAGTTGGAGCATCTATTGGATGACGATAGAGACATGGCGGATCTCTATCTCACACGCCAGCTGCAATGGCTCACTCTGCCCGCCTCTCCCGCACACTCACCCTCACACTCACCCTCACACTCGCCCTCACACTCTCCCTCACACGCTCACCCTCTCTCTCCCGCACACTCTCCCCCACGCTCTCACCCGCACTCTCCTGCACATTCACCCCCACACTCCCTCACACCCTCTCCCCCACACTCTCCTTCAAACTTGCCAGCACACACTCCCACACACTCTCCAACACCCTCTCCCTCACTCTCACGCTCACTCTCACACTCACCTTCACATTCCCCTCCACTTGACCTTTCTTCTCCTCCTCCCAATCCCCTCTCTCCTCATATCCAGCCCACTGCTTCTGGGCCTGCCTTCCCCCCTGCGTTTCCCCTTGCGACCGTCTCTAGTCACAGGGGCTCCCTCACTCACTCCCCCACTCACTCCCTCACGCACTCCCACACTCACTCCCTCCCTCACTCCCTCACTCACTCGCTTTCCTTCCTCCCTGTCACTGGCCGAAGCTTCCGAAGCTCTGGCAGAGGCGCATGGGGGGGAATGGGGGGAACGCCAAGGGGGGGAATGGGGCGGATGGGGGGAATGGGGGGAATGGGGGAGGGGTCGGGGAGCAGTGTGAGTTCGAGTGTGGTGAGTGTGGGAGG